TTTCGTTCAAAAGACTTCTGAGTGTTATCTATTGCATGAACCAAACTTCAGTGGAATTTGTTTACCCGTTCAAAAACTGTCACATTTATAATATTAATAGGAGTTCTTACAAATGGATTGGGTGCAGTATACTTGAATATGTTACAGAATTGGAAAATTTAAGAGTCAGTAAGTCTGAAAAAATATGTTGTATATGTTTGTATTAGGTATATACTCGTATTTTATGGATTACTGTCATTTATTTGTATAAAAAAGTAAAAGCACATATTCTTCTATAATTTTACAAAATCAATAAACAAAAATTACTAATAAAACATACAAATAACTTTACACGCCTTAATGGTATATACTAATCCAATATGTCTCAAAGTTTTAAAATAGGTTCATATGTTATCTCTCTGCCAGTTTAAAAAAACAAATGTGAAATCGAAAATATTTTCTATTTGCCAATGGTTAATAAAACTTAAAACATTTGAATGTACAAGTAATAGTATGGAAATCAATACGAAAGGTTTGCGATAATGGACGAAAATCTAGACAAAGCGTTATGTCGGTTTACCGGACCGGTGATTTACAATAGATTTACGATGAATTACGTGCCGGAGCCGGTCCGGGCCGCGTCAATTCAGAATGCGAATGCGGGCGCCCGCAATTCTGCGTGCACCTGTGTTTTGAATTAATTGTAGAAATATCAGGTTTTAGTATTGTTACTTTTCTATAGTACTTCTTCTTTCGGTATGATGATATTTTATTGTTTGGGATGTTTTCATGTTTGAAACACATTCGAACAGTATACTGGGTAGCTATAGTAAAATATATTTGTGAAATTAGAAGGAGTAGAAAGTAATCTAGCCACATACACATTATCTGGGGAGGCAAAATACCATTTTTGAGTATTAAATTATTGATAAATTAAAAGATAATTTGAAGTAAATTTTCATGCTTATTGTTTATGCATGAAAAATACGGATTAAAATACTTTCTATTAAATATCCTAGAAGTACATATGTGTAACGTAAATTTAACGTCTATACGAAAAATCGATCAAGTATGTCATACAAAAATATATTTACATATCTTATTTTTATTAAAAAAATACTCATATATTACTTGATTATTTGTTAAGGGTTAATAATATTTTTCTTTAGGTTGTATTCTCTGTAGTTCTTTAAAATAAAATTACATTTTGTATTTTGTACACCAATTTGGTATTGTACAAAAGAAACTGTTTAAAATTCATTACAATCTTAAATTATATTGTCGGATCGAATTTTGTCTCGTAAAATTACAGTCAAAAGTTTTTAACAAAGCGACATACCGACAATTCATAACTACATACATCCCTGAATGTATGTGCAAAAATTCCGCATGAATTACGGAGGGAGCACTTATACTTATTTATTTGGCACCTTGTGATTAAAAAACATGTACTGTACGGGCAATTTACAATCGATTTTTTTATAATTTATTAATTTTAATTAATGCAGGTTGTATCATCGGGTCATTGTCAATGTACTGGATCATGGATGTCATACAACTATAATCGAGGTAAAAATTCGACTATTGCTCTTTTTTTTAAATTAATTTTCAATTGAATATTTTGGATTATTATATAATTACTATTAATTATAGCTAGCCAGTGTCAATTAATGACCCTTGACTTCTATGTTCGCCCAGACCTGCTCATTGATTCAATTTAGTATTTCTTCTATCTTATGCATATATCTGAAATAAAGGCATGACATGAATTATGAAGAAATTGGAATAAAATTACTGGATACCAATACTGGCGATATAACTCATTACGGTTTTTTTTCGGTTATTTACGGTTCTCTGAGATTTTTCTGTATACGCATTAACAAATTGTTTCACAGACATAAACATGCGGGTAATTTAGTCCGCACTGCATGGGTCGACTTCCATGGTCCTCTAATGTTTATTTTCATTGAAAACCCAGTTCAGCCGTAGGTACATTAATAACGTGAGACGTGTTACAGTAACCGCAACGCTTAGAAAGTGAAACTCAAACAATACGTGAAGGTTCCCTGTTGAACTTTATTCATTAGTTATATGTGAAGTACTTGCCTACTAAAAGTCAAAAGTTCTCGCTTCCAATAGGGTCACGTACTACTGTTGTCCTACAAGTTTCTTGTACAATAATATTTTATTAGTGAGATTGGTGTTACTGGACGGATTTTGTGTAATTAAATTTTTATGAACATATAACATATATTCAGTAAATTACCATTGCATAAATAATAAAGTAATGACTACTATATATTATTACTATAGTTAATTATGGTTATGGAGCATTTGTGTAAATATATATTTTGCTTTTAATTTTCTATTGATCGAAAATATACGCATGAATCTGTATATTTATATAGTATACAGATTCATAACGTTTGTAATATTCTGTTATTTTATTCAGTAAAGTTTTAAATATTCTAGGTACTGATTTTTATTTCAGAATAGTCGATTCATTATCGATATTCTTATTTGTCACTTGTATACATTACTCGAATTACTGAAGATAAAAAAAACAGTTACATTGAAAATCATTCTTGTCATTTTTGGTTTCCTTAGGTATAAAAATAGTTACATCTGAGAAGAAAGGTTTTCGCCCTTCTTGCCAGATAATGGAAGAAGTAGTTTGCTGTCTTGTTTACTTAGGTATATATTAAGGTACTTTATTAATTTCAGTACCCTTGAGGGTACTGAAGTATGAGACTAAGTAATATATTGGGCGTATTCTACCATTAGTAGTAGTATTCTACAATCAGATGGCATGTATTCTACCATTGTGGTATAAAACAATTGAAGATGCATCAAGGTATTATAATAACCTAGTCAATTAAGTTATAAATCATTTTATTATTCCAATTAATTATAGGAAGAGTAAAACACGATATACACGTACATATTTCAAATAAATTATGCATAATCAACATTAAACATCTAATAAATCTAGCTATACGTAAGTACTACAGACTAGAATGAATGAAGTCAATATTCGAAATATATCATTGTTTGTATGTATATGACATACTGTTTATCTATAAAATAAAAATATTAAATTCCTAGTTAGAAAAAAATAGGGCAAGGTTAACTATAAACTTATTTAATTGTTTTTTTTGTTTACATACATATTTATATGAATACCAGGGATATCTTTTTTTTCTGAAAACTAATTTTCATTTAAATAATTAGAAAATACGTAATATGGAACCAGTAGATTTTTTGTTATACAATTATAGCTACTACGAATATACAGACACGGGTCAATGTCGAGTGTTAATCAGGGTCATCTAGTAAGCGATTAGTGATGTGCCGCTTAATTTGATTGTAATGATGGCCATCAACATGTTTCATTGATGACGTCACAATATTAAAAAACCTGCTTAGGAAATAATGCTGTTAAGTTGTATACATTAAAATGTTTAGTAGTAAACTGATTAAAAAAAATATTACTACAAGTAGTAGTAATATTTTTTTTAATTTCTTTAGAAGCGTTTAGAAATAATTGTTTAAGGATATGTATGAGAATATAGACAATAAAACTATATATTATCAAACATATAGTAGTAGGGTTTTGTATGAACCTAAATTAATCTTTTATAGAGGTAGAATTTGTAAAAAATCTGCTGAGAATCTCTTCAATATCAGACGCCAAGCAGCTTGCTTTGTAATCTGTTTTTAGGTTGCGGGTTCGAGATAAGACAGTGAAATTACAGGACACGAGGCATGATATCTTCGTCCTCAAAATGGCATAATACAAAACTAAGCTCGTATGCCATTCTAGTCCCTTAATAAACTAAGTAAAATAAAACTCTATCAGCAACTGTTAAGCTATGTAAAAAATATTGTTATATTAGTACATACTCATTGGAATTATAACTGAGTTTTAATTACTTTTTTACGTTTTTTGATGATAATATTATTATAGCTCTTTGACTACTAAATAATATTTATTAATTATAAGGTAGTTTGAGTATAGAGTTTAAAATAAACAATTTTAAAGTACATTTTTTTAGAAACTTCCGTATTTCGGATTATCTGATCTCTTGACGTTAATTATAGTATAGCCGGCGTATTTATATTTGTATTGTCGATTTAATGAATATGTCAGTTTGTCTGTTTACCTGTCTAGGTCTGAACCATGAAATCAGTGTAATCGTTGATATTACACCTTACATTTGTGATTTTTTTTTTATGTTTTTTTATGTAACTAGAATGGTAAGGTGGCTGACGATGCAACTGATAGAATGCACAAATGTACACATTCTGTAATGCCCGTGGACATAAGGCATTACCATCCCTCAGGAGTACGGTGCCATGCCTCCGAATCCTATTTAAATTTACTGTCACATAATTTTCTTTCAATCCGTCACAGCTGGAATATCTGCTTGATGTTAAAAATAATATTCTTAGTAGAATTTACTCGTTGGAATTATTCAAGGACAAGAGTTTGATAATGTACATAAATTTATAACAAAAAAAATATTTAATGCATCCTTTTTATTAGGTCTCTAGTCTAGGTAATAATCGATTTCTTAAAACTTGGCCAAATCTAGAAATAAGTAAACATAAGTTGGGGAGCCTGTGGTAAACAAATAGCACCATATTGCATAATTTCATATAGTATAGTTATAGTGAAAGAACAAGGACTTAATGACCTGATTTCACTAACAGAGCACTTACCGGAAACGGCCGTTTCCGGGGATTTTTGAATATAATTAATGTTCTTTATTACTACTTTATCCTCTACTCTTCATACATATTACATACCAGATTTTAAATACGATTTAAGTTGGAAGAACTTTTTTATTTATTAAATCTATTATTTCACATATATATTATAAGTAACAGACATATATATGTAAATTAACAGAGTAATAAGACATAAAAATGTGACCTTTTTGTTCAAGGAGTTTCTTCCAGATTATAAAGGTTTAATTAATTAACAAATAAGAGGAATTTTATTTATAGTAAAAACATACCTTTATGCGAGCTCACAGTGCATCCAACATCTTCGAATAATATGTGAACAGGTGGACGTTTAGCCATACGGTTCAGAGCCTTAAGGGTTGAGCCGGCTCGTTCCAAAGCAGCAGGTGTCCATTGATTCTCCTGTTGGTTGACCACTAGGGGATTATTCTGATCAGTTGGAGGGGCAGAAGCGTGCGCAAGGGTAGCACCAGCGATCGCGCGACGTACCAAAGGAACGGTCGACATTTCCAATTATTCTATTTTTATCATATCACAAAATGTAGATTGTAATTTTTTTGGTAATGTAACCTACTTAGTAAAATTAAAGTATCCCTTTTACAATATTTTAATTTCAACAGAAAAAATAAATAGGCACAAATTCACAAATTTAATTATTGTTCCAAATTTAAATTGTTTGTATGAAATAAATTTGTTGTGTTTAGCGATGTTTTTGTTTAATCAAGAGTCGGTTGCACTGTACGTGAGTTCCGCAAAGCCGCGCAAGCGTGCAGTTGGAATCAAAGGCGCAATGAAACTAGTAAAGCCATTCATATTATGATAAAAGGCAATGTTAAAGCGTTGATCTATAAATAAATTCGTAATTAGTCATTTAATGTATAGACCTAATTAAATTGTTAATGATATTATTTAACCTAAACCTATCACATCACTAAACTATTGTGACATTGGTGTTCGATACTAGAAAAGTATATTAACGTGGCTACATTTTTTGTAAAAGCAATTTTCTTGAAACTTCCTATTATTATATTTAGGTATCCAACTATGTTTTCCTTCACTTTGCTTGTATTTCATATAGTAAAATATTTTTTCTATGGTTATAACATCACATAAAATGCACAAAATTCTCGGGAATTTGGAAATACAGCAATTATTGGAATAATAATTAAAAATAGTTGAAAAATGAGAATTCTCATATATCACCAGTTTAGTTTATAGAAGTAAATTGTATCAAACCTACTAACGAGTTAACTTGCGGAACAAGTTGCAGTTACACGATTAGTTGATAGCTTGCATAATATATTGTAGTACCTACGCAACTACTGCATTCATATAAAATGTTTTTACCAAATTGATAACAATGTATAGTCCCGAAATAATATGTTAGAAGGCTTGTTTTTAATTCTATTACCATTAAAATGTATGTGTACAAATGTCATTAATTAATAATAATTACATTAATATTCTTAAAAACCAGATCGCTTCATGGGAATTGCCACGGAATGTATAAATCTCTCTGCTTCCGTATTTCCAAAAAAATAGATCCTCGGACTCTTGAAGCCTACATTGAATACGCGTCTTCCAGGTAAGCACGGTGCATTTAAAATCTTGCTAGTACTTTCCATCAGGGGAGGTAAGAAAACCCCTATACCATTTAATGTATAGTAAATATGTACGCTAAAAATAGTTGAATACCTATGCTGAGTGTTATGTTATTAGACCTTAGTGAGTTCTTAATACCTTGATGACAGATTATACTCATATTTCAATGTTAATTATAAACAAGTATTTATAAAAGAACGAGCAATAATATGTACGTGGGCTGAAAACGTAAATACCTATAATTTACAATAGATCTGCGATTAACAACCAAGTCCCAAGAACCACGATTAAAAAGGCACCTTGTTAAAAATGCCTTTTTAATACCTAATTTATAATTCGAATGGAAAACAATCTGACGGACCCACCTAACTGTAAGTGGCGCCAGTAATGATCATGATACTAATATCTTACAATTCTGACGCCTAACATGTTTTGCATCTTATACGCTGTAATTTCAATGTCTTTTCTTACTTTTAAACCGACCCATAGCTTACAAAGCAACCTGCTTGTTGGCTGAAATAGCTGAAACTCACGTAGATCTACTTTAGTGAAACTAAGAAATCTTTTGCAGTTAAATTAATAAATAATAATTATTACTAATTGTAGGGGACACTTTGTTCAGCAGTTGACGTCTTTCGGGCTGATGATAGTTATTAATTGTAGACCTAAATATATAGTGATACATGAAATGAGCAAGTTTCCTTTGATCACAAATTTTGCATTATTCATCTATAAAATATATTAATCGCAACTTATCTATTTATCGTTTCTATTACAGCGTATCCTATCAGTGTTGATTATGGCGTGTTTGAATATTTATTCATATGTGAAAGATATATGCTGATCGATAAGGGTCAAAAGACTTGTTCACGTGTATAAACTGATTGCTGTATGATAATCAACATTTATTAACGCAAAGCTAGTGTACGGAAATTATTATATATCAATATCAATAAGGTGATAAGTACCATAATAATGTATCTAGGTGCATATATTGTCATATATTGATATAACCAACGCATAAGTCACGAATTTTCAACTCATTACATCGGGTGAAGGCGAGTGTATCGCAGATTTTCTTTAACGGTTATTGTGATATTATATTTATATATGAAATAATAAAAAAAAAAGGTTGTGTTCATATTATAATCTATGAACACATAATGTAGTTTTTGTCTCGGTCAAATTTGAACTCCCTATCTTTTGATTATAAGTCGGCATATTAAATCGCTATACCGAATATGCCAAAGGTAAACGCCACGATATACTAGAATATACTGTCCCTAAAGTTATTGAATCCTTTCAAAGTATGCAGAGATAACAGTGTTCATTGGTTTCTATTTTTATACACAGCTTTTGTTCACTCACTTTCATTATTAATCTCATGCATACACACATACATATTACATATACAAATCGGACACCTTTTGCTCTTCTATAGAGTTAAACGACAGCATATATCTAATCAATTTAGGTTTTCCCCGGTACCAATAAATATCTATTGTTTTATTTATTCAGATATGTGTACAAAGATTCATACATAAAACTTGTTACTTTACAAAATCATATATCAATAAAAAACAGTTCTATGATATAATACCGCTATTCAGTCTAGGAATATATATTTTTCTATTTGAAGAAAGAGCCTGGATGGATATCTATAATAATTACCAATATTATAAAAAGGTAATTTTTTAAATTTCGGACATCCGATGTAATCTACTGTAAGTACCTACTAGTGATCCGATTTTGCAAAATCTTTTAGTGTTAGATAGCTCGTTTGTCGAGGAACACATAATGAATACATAATGTGACGCTATGACCAATAGAAGCGTAGCTGGAATGAAAAATCTTGTAAAAAAGGGGAAACTGTGACTCATTCCGGCAATATTTTTGTACACTATTTTGATATTTAATAATCTATTATTATAATCATAACTATAATATATGTATTTAAATTAAGACATTAGAATGGCAAATGTAACAGCCCAACAGATGTTAAGTCCAAATATCCTTCACTTCGTTGCAATTCCGGATTCGGTTTCGGGATAGATATATGGACAGCTCAATGGACAACACGATATCATGTGTTGCTATTTCGAAGGTTTATGTGCCAGTGCCAGTATAAATTCACTGCTATATTGTATCAGTTAATCGAACAACCGCTTACAAAGGAAACTGCTTGGCAATAGAAATAAGAAATATAGAGGTAGCCAAGCAGATTGTTAATCTCGATTATTATTTAATTAGAAAACTATATTTTTATTATAAAAGTCAATGCTTATCATCGTTTTCTTTATCTATTTTAATATCAGGTTTTATAACATAGTTAGTCATTTCCAATTTATTTAATATATTTAAATAAATTCTATTAATTTAATATTTACGTACAATTCGACAGCCTCGGTGGTCTAGTGGTTTAGTATACCGCTTTACTATCCGATAGTCGCGGGTTCGATACCTCGCACGATACAAAAATTTGTATTCATGAGTATGTTTGTTTGTATCGGTCTGGGTGTTTTCTATGTATAATATGTATTTATTTAAAAAAATCCACCCATGTATTTATATTAGTTGTCTAGTATACATAACACAAGCTCTGCTTAGCTTGGGACTAGATGACTATGATAATATATTTGTGGTAAACAAAAATATTTTGTTTGGTGCAGTATCAACAAGGAAATAAATATGTAAACACATTAGGTGTGTTAATTGATAATAAAAGGGTCGTATTAGTTTTTTATTTGATTAAGATTATCCGCTGCTCATTAGAATGTAAATATGTAGTTGCATGTTGTCTTAATACGGGAAATTGAGATTCAAGGTTAATCTTACAACTTTATACGTATTTACAATTTTGTACGTCAAATACAAATAAACAATATTAGACGTTAAGATTTCGTTCGACTGGAGTTTTTTTTCGGACTACTCATGATGTTGGTCCATGCGTTGGTCAACTCCGCGGAAGGCCACTTTAGTCTATGGCACAGCAAGGGGCTCGAACCTCAGCTCAGGCCGGCCTAATTTCGATCCCCGTTTGAATTGGATGGGGGATCTATCAGAGAATAGTATTGGCATCATTATTTTAGCATACGAGTTTCTCGGGATGATAAAATTGATGTTTTCTTATCAATGCACTAGATTATACTAAGATGAAAAATAAAACTCGAAACAAATCGAAATCAAACCAACTAGACAGCGTAGTTACAGAAGGCCTATATCTTATTACCGCGAGAGATATTGTTACAGTTGGTATATATATATATATATATATATATATATATATAAAGAAGAATACAAGTAGAATAATACAATAATTAGTAGTTTTTTGTTAATATATTATCATATACTTCATGAGATTGTACATATAAAAGGGATATAATAATTCGTTGGAAGCTGTTATAAGGGTAACCTTGTGTCTTCTCCTTGATCGGTGACCGAGGACGAAATGTACTTCGTCCAGGGTCAAGGTCGTAAAATTTCCGGAGATTCAAACTTGTCTCCTCTTGAGCGACCTTTATGTGATCGGATTTTTCTGCATCGCAATATTGAATGATTCACATCACGCGGTTATTGTGATTTAAGTACGCATCTGTCTGTTACCATGGTAACGATTTTGTATTTATATTTTAAGGACTGCATTTTATCCGCACTGCGAATTCTCATTGGTTTATTTGTCCTTACTAATATTATAAATGCGAAAGTAACTGTCTGTGTATCTCGCTATCACGCCAAAACTACTGAACCGATTAAATGAAATTTGGTACACATATAGTCTAGACCCTGAGAAAAGACTTAGACTACTTTTTATATGAAAAAAGGGTTGTATATATAAGTTTGTATATATATTTTTAAAGCTAGAAGCTTGAAACTATATATATATATAAATAATACAATTTGGCACGTTTTAAAAATAAAATTGAACATAAAATATCTAGTGTCATAGTACCTCAATATGACCCGGACATTGTATGTGAACATATTTTTAATTTAATTGAACATGAAGCTAGCAGTGAATTTAAAACAAAAACCTTTTCAACTAGTGTAAAATCGAAGTTATATACTGGGCCACGTTTGGTATTTATAAGTCTAGGGCTAATCTTTACGAACTTTACGAAAAACGAGTATATATCCGATCCCTTATTTCATGAACATGTAAA